CGGCCTCGAGGAGGCCCCGGCGGAGCCGCCGGTACGGGCGGCCAGGGCGAGGGGCAAGTGCCGGGACCTGCAAAATCTATCGCGGCGACTGTGTGTTCTTCAGTGCGGTAATGCTGGGTGTTTGTTTCTTACAGCCTGGTAATGACAGCGAGGAAGATATGTTTGGAGACTATGAGAGCTTCTGTGGGAGTGACTCTTTCTTGGCCCAGCTTGATGACATGGAGCAGATGCATCTCCAGGGTAAAGAGGTGGATATTTCAGCTGCTGCAGAGCTTGGGAGGCCTGTGTCAGGAGCTGGGCAGAGGAAACAGTCCGATTCTACTTCAGAAAATGCTGGTTGCAAAGCTGTGAGGGGTGATGGTTTCCAAAAGCATGAAAGTGACCTCCTAGATAACAATGAAGGGGCAGATGACTTTGTTTTAGATGACTTCCCATCATCACAGTTGTTGTACCTTGAAGAAATGGACAAGTTTTCTTCTGCTTCCAGAGAATCTGCAGTTGCAAAATGGAACAATAACTACACAAATTGCTGCTTGGACAAAGTCTCAAATCCCTCTCTTGGTCATGCTGCAGACCAAAGGGAAGGAGGTACGGAATTGCCCATGGGCTCTAAACATGACCCAAATAAACGAGAGAGTCTGAAAGATCATCTGAAAAGTGCTATGACTGGAAATGCCAAAGCTCAGGCTCCGCTGGTTTCTAAGACCAAGCAGCTTAAAGAAGCTGTTTTATCTGAAGAGATTTGTGTTGCTAGAAAAGCTATCGAGTCTTCTTCTGATGATATTGGCCCTTTCTATGGACTACCTAGCAAAGTAAAAGATCTCCTCAAGCAATTTCGAGGCATTGAAGCACTTTATGGTAACATCATTGAAGTTTTCTTCAAAGAAAATGTTGTATTAACAAGTGTTTCTTATTTGTTCTGTTTTACTATTATTATTGTTGTTGTTATTATTGTTATTTGTTTGTGTTTTTATTTGCAATTATGGAAGCCAAATACTTGTGTTAGGAAGGAAAAGTTTTAGATTGTAACGACAGAATGTTTAGTTAATGTCACCTATTGCATCTAAGAGCCAACCTAACGACTATTTGAACTCAAAAGGTGGAAAGATGGAGCTATAGCAATGCTTAAAATAACCTCCTTTAGAACCTGGGAAAGGGAACTGATTTTTAGAGGATGTAGGACATTAGTGTGGCATATAGAAATTTGCTCATGTGAAATATGATGAGGCAAAGGTTTTGGAAGGCTCAAACATTAGAAAGTATAAAACTTTAGTAATGCAAAACATTGTCACGTTAAGCCTGTAGTATCTTTTTGTACACCAGAACACAGGCAGCTGATTATTGCTCATCATGCACTATAAAGAGAGGGTCAGTAATCTTGTTTTTCCAATTTTGCAGAATGGCAGCATGATTGCTTAACATTAGAATCTCTGCAACAAAGAAAAAATTTAATATACTCGCTACCAACCAGTGGTGGAAAAACACTAGTGGCTGAAATTTTAATTCTCCAAGAATTACTCTGCAGACAGAAAGATGTTCTGATGATCCTGCCATATGTGGCTATTGTCCAGGAAAAGGTTTGGAAACATTCTGTCTGATATTGTTTGTCTTTCATTCTTCACATTGTTATATAGCTGCTTTTAGCTATAAAGGTGGGAAACAGTCTTATTTTGAAGTTTTGTCCAGCTACAGAAAAAGGGCACTTAAAATATGCCTGTGATTCAGTGTAAACATAATCTAATAACTAAGTGGTTGCTCTTTTTCTAAATCAGATCTTAGCCTCAGCAGTTTTGCAGTGAAACATGTTTTGATAATTCTCTGAAATGCTGAGTTAAGGAGTAAAGTGAGCTATTTTCTGAAATACTAGTGTTTTCCAATGTTACCTTCTGTTCTTCTGGAGGCCTGCACCTCCTCTACTATGTGCCTTGCTAGTGAAATAGTCTTGTGATAAATAGAAATATTTTGTTGCTTCCAATAAAAATGACTTTGTAGAACACTTCTAATTCAAGGTTCATAATGCTCGGAAGCACTCTTGCAGGTAGAAAAGTCAGAGCTAATGTGGTTGCACTTGGTCAGAAAACAGTTCCCTGGGGCCTGGGTAGGCTACGTGCATGCCCACCTAGTGCTTGCTGTGAAATTCAAGATGAGCCTGCGTTTGTCCTCTAATTGGTGCTTCTGTATTTTATTATAGGTTTGGGGTTTATCAAGTTTTGGGATAGAATTAGGCTTCCTGGTTGAAGAATATGCAGGAAGTAAAGGAAGATTTCCACCAATCAAGAGAAGAGCAAAAAACTCCCTCTATATTGCTACTATAGAAAAAGGACATGCTCTAGTGAATTCCTTGATCGAAACAGAAAGAATTGATCACCTGGGTCTAGTCGTTGTAGATGAGGTTTGTGAGAAAGTTGTTAGCAAAAACTATTATTCCTTGGGTTTTATACATTTGTGTTTATAATAAAGTAGTATAATTTCAGGCTTCTGCATTGGCAATTAATGACCGACAAACTTGAACTGAAACCAAAATCTGTTTTGAAGTTATCTTCCTTTATTGATCGAAGTATTTTAGTGCTACATCAGGATAAGAGATTCTATGGTGAAGTATATATCTTGTTAGAGGAGTTGGTGGTAAATTATTTAACAAATATTTATTTTATCATTTTGGCCCTAGACAATACTGGAGCAGAAAAATGGTGAAGTATCTTAGTCCTATCGGACAAACTTTGTAAGCCCTGTAAGTTTTTATTCCTGGAATTGCGTCATTGGTCAGAACTAAATTAAATTATTAAAAGGAATGCATTAAATCACATTGGATTGGGGAAATTGGTTCTTATTCTGCTTTTGTAGAGAATTTTCCTACTGCGGCTAGATTGGAGGGCTTTCGATCAACTTGTGATATCCAACAGGTGAACAAAAGTCGTGTATTGCTTTAGGCTGATGTAGCTTTTTTAAATACCTTGGTTTCTAAATAGAAGAAGATTTAATTCTGCTTTTTTCCTCTTATGGCTATTAAGAAAATCTATTACCTTCCATTATAAGCATTGCTTACAACTTCAATTGTATAAAATTGGTTTAAGCTAATACAAAGATCTGTGTGTTTGCTGCTAGAAAATGCCTGTTTTCAACCTGCATGCTCTAACCAAATGGAAGGAAAATTTTGCTTAATGCACTTGATTTTGGGTCTGTTTTTCTGAGACTCTTGAATACATGTTGTTCTAGTGAGGTGATATTTATGGAAGATTATTAGTCCAAATTCACCAGATAAATATTTGAAAGGAAGTCTGACACCGACTCTGCTGTAGTCAGAGTTAATAGTTTGTTTCTAGAAATATTCTTAGCCAGTAATATTCTCTCCACTTCTCTCTTGTTTCTGTCAACAGCTACACATGATTGGTGAGGGAAGTCGTGGTGCAACACTGGAAATGACTCTTGCAAAAGTTCTTTACACCAGTAGTAAGTTATTGCTGCGGTTAATATTGCTAAAATATTGTAATGATGGAAAAGTCTAAAGTCTGGCTTTCCTTTTTAGATTTCTGTGTTTTTGGTTTTCTTCTGAAAAATGTTTTGTTTGCTAACAACTTTGTCATTTAATTGCTAATTTTACCCTGTGAAGTTGGGCTGAGTATTTTTGAAGCTCTTGTGATAGCTCCTCTGTGAAAAAATTATTGTCAAATTTCCTCACTTTCTTTGAAGAGTCTGCTCTTCCAATTAAATGCTTTTCTAGAGGTTTGTTTTTTTTT